GTCCTCCACCACGATCACCTTTTCCTCCACGACGACCACCTCTTCCTCTTCCTTGGCCTCTGTTAGGTGCCGCATCTTCCTCTTCACTTTCACTGTCTTCACCAGCACTTGTAGTACTCGGACTCTCATGTTCCTCGAAACTTTCGACTTCTTCGTCGCTTTCATCATTTTCTTCCGAGCCAGAGCTATCGCCATTATAATCTGAACCATCTTCACTTTCCTCGTCACTAAATTCAGAGTCTCTATCTGTGAAAATTTTGTCTAAAGCTTCCTCGATTGTCATCCGACGTGAGCCATGTGAGCTTGCCGCCATCTTGGATTTACCATAAACATACACAAAGCCTCCTGGGTATATATTGTGCCAACAATGCAAAATTTTCTTGGTCAGCAGATTATTTAATGACTCCCAGATCCTTCTAAATGACCACGGTAAAAACCCGCAAACGACTGGGTAGAAGAAAACAAAGCTTTGTAGAGGACGTATATATACATCCTTGGTATCTGAGGCTCACAGTTTAGGACATATATATATACGTCGTTGGCATTCAAAGGGTTAAAGTCAGAGGTAATGAAAATTCTGGGAGACAAAAAAATATATATTGAAAATTATATGACTGAATGTGCTCTTTGCAAAACTTTTGCAGGGAATAAGACAGATGGTTGGTCAACTTCCAGAGATGCCAACCTAAAAAAACAAAATCCAGGAGAATTTGCGACTTTTACCTTAATTCAACCCCAGAAAAACTTTATTGGGAGAGTTCTGCCGATTCAACCACAAAAATGTGTAAAGTACTTCCAAAAAATTTGCAAAATTGTATGAAAAATGTTCTTAAAGAACTTCTTCCTTTGTATCTGGAGATCTGTAATTGGTACATGAGACCAGGAGATTTCACCTGTATCCAGAAGACTTGCGGGAAATCTGGGAGTGTTGGTATACACGAACCCCTGGCACATCGGGACCTTATAAAACTGGATGTTATAATTTATTTATAATTATAAAGTTCTTACTTTCTGTTATCTCTCCTGATGGATTGAGAGGAGACTGGAATACAAAAATGATCTGAAATTGTCAAGAATAGAATTAGAACACAACATTAATCTGATCTTATGTACTATAGGCATCTGTGGTCAAGTGTCAATCAATACCCTCAATCAACCCTCAATCGACCCTCAAACGAATCTCGATCAACACTCCATTGACATCGTGATCAACACTCAGTCAGCATCTTGATCGATACCTGGTCAACACTCAATCGACATCTCAGTCAACAATTGGTTGAGAGCCAACTAATTTTCGCAGACACGCCATCAAGTGTCACTCAATACATATGAGTCGGTCTACACTCTGCCAACAATCAATTAACTGTTGATCAAGTGTCAATCAAGTGTCAATCAGGACGTCAATTGAGTGTTGATCTAGTGTGGACCAAGTATCGATTGAGATGTCAACCGAGATGTTGATGCAGTGTCGATTGAGGGTCGATCAAGGGTATTGATCAACACTCAACCGCAGATGCTTTCAGTACATATGATCCCACTGATCATTAAGTATTGACAAACTTACACTCTGTACAGCAAAATCAAGCCAAGACATCAAAGTTGTAACGGTTCTTAACATGTATCAGATAAAGCAACTCAGAAAACTGTCACTCCCCATTGATGAACACTAGTCTGTCACATTGGCTACATCTGAGCTTATCTGTCAGGCTGATCAGCGGACCAATTTTGCCAAAAGCCACTATTTATACCCCAGTGCCAGAGGTTGGTCCAAAGCCAATTAATGCTAAACCAGGATTGTAATGTGATTGAGGTTTCAATTAATCTCTTGCACAATGGTGTTTTCCATTTTGAGTGTCTTGTGGAGTTTAAGACTATAATCAATGAAATTTTATTGGTTGGAAAGGATAAATAGAAATACTAAGAAACTAGATCAAAATTATCCCTGATCCCGAATAAGCTTAAGTATACTTTGAAGAACTGGGCCTTCAGGGCACAGCAGTGTACATTGGCCTGTTAAACAGCGAATTGAGATTACAGGAAGCTGTCAACCAGAATTGTACAATGTATGTGAAAATCAGAATTTCTTTCCAGTCCATAAACATGGACTGATCTTTCTAACACATTTTCAGTCATAGAATAATCGCTCGCTCAGGACCATCGTGGGAATAAAAGCTCGTTCAGGACCATTGTGGCAGAATATCAGTCACATTTGTTCTCTTTTGTAGGACCTTGCTGCATGACGTCTGTACAGTCATTAGAAATTGGGTCGATAACCCTCATCACTTCATAATTTATATTATGTCCTGCCCAGATGTAAGATCACAACAAAGTGACTGTATGGTAATTATGACAAACCTCACCTTGTCCTGTTTGACAGCATGTGACACAACTTCTCTTGAACCAGTCTCCAGTCCTTTGTACCCAAATGGCTCAAATCCCATTTTGTTGCAGTAATATGAGGCTGCCTGTTGATTCAAGTCACAGTTATAAATGTAAAAATGTCCATTGGCATCAATTTGATTGTGCAAAGTACACAAGATACCTAACACCATAGAATAGTTAACTAGAACCTCCAGATTAATGACACCATGGGTGAAAATGGATGACAAGTATCATGCCTACATTTTCCTCAATCTTGGAGGAAATTAAAGGCCAGATTTAATGAAGATTTAATTAAGATTAGACTTAAGATCTGGTGAACTTTGCTGGTTAACAAACTTATCATAGCATAATTTTGTTTGCGTTGTTACACCATTAACACTAACCTGCTTGGCATTTCCTACCCAAAATGTGACATGATCAAAGGCAACAAAGGAACCAGCCTCAGGCTGAAAATAAAGAACCACAGGAATGTCTTTGACAGATATCCAACTTGCAATCAATAAAATCAAAAGTTGAAATGTACAGTGTTGAATTCAAAGTCTTTCAAGTTTGTGTACCAGGATCTGAGGTACTAGCTAACCACAAGACCATATTTTGTACTTAATGACCCTTTCAATTTTAATTCCAATTCCAGGATTCAACCAAACGGCTCCATTAAGACCATGTCATAAAATTAATTACTTTCATTTGTATTGCCTAAATTATGGGCAAGACAAGTCAAATCCTGCACTGATTGGCAACCTCAGCAGATAGACAGGACTGTCTTGCTCACTGGAGACTGCTTGCCATGTACCACAAGAAAATGGTTTTCTTTATACCATATAATAAATCCTTTACTAAACACCCATGAGGCTGGCCAAGTTATATCCAGCCATCTTGATCTAATGCATGCACAATAACACACATATACTATTGATCCCAGATGACTGTTGAATTAGCCTTTTTTCCGGCCGTTTCACTCAAAATTGGTTTTAACCGCAGATTCAAAAAAGTGATCACATGATGACAAACATTTCTCAGCTACAGTTGGTAGCACAGCTGTTGCAAATTTCTCAAAAGTAGCAAGTTCAAAGTAAATCTTATCCATACAATCAGGGTC